CTCAGCAGTTATCTCTACTGGTTTCCCCACATCCTCCTTGGTTATCCTCACCACTTCCCTGCAATCCAGCCCCCACACTACCACTAGAAAGATCTTTCTAAACCACATATTATCCCCTGCATTGACACCCCTCTTAATGCAGCTCCAAGTTCAAGGCCCCACTCCTCTTTGTTCACCTAACTCTCAAATCATCCTACCACCCACCTCATGCTCTCCTACTTCCATGCTTTAACTTACTAACTCCCTCTAACTTTCTTCTACCAGTCAGAAGCTTCTTTCTGTTCTTCAATACCCAATTCAAGTACATTTCCCCCACCCCTTAAAGTTATTGATAATCGAACTGTTTCTTTACTGGTTCCACAGCATCTTATTTAGAGCTTTGTCTGTATTATTTATGCTGTCCTATCTTGTTATGGTTGATTGTGTACATACCTATCTTGACGACTAGAGTGGCAGGTCCTTGAAGGTAGGGGTCCATGAAAACAGATTATTATAGCCCTCTCCCAGTAGGAGATGCTCAATAAACAATCTGAACAGAATTTAATGACCTACCCTACAATATTCATTCATTTTACAAATCTTTACTGAGCATAAACGAAAAAAAAAATCTCTACTCTCACAGAACTTTAATGGTAAGATACAGACATGAAATGAAATAAGTAAGTAAATGTATACTGTGTTAGATGGAGAAATTAGTAAACAAAAATATAAAGCAGGAAAGGGGGCAGGGCAGTGAGAATAGGGTTCGATTTTCTCTCAGGTGACCAGGGAAGACCCTACTATGGAGCTGATAAGTAAGCAAAGACCTAAAGAAAATGACTGAATCAGTCATGCTGATTCTGCCATGACAGTGTTCCAGGCAGAGAGACAGCAAGTGAGGCAGGTACCTGTCTGGCATAGGTAACCAGGAGGACGAAGGCCGGTGTGGCTGAAGTGAATGAGTGAGAGGGAGAGAGCACAGAGAGGAAATCAGAGGGAGAATGGGAAGCCAAATCCTGTAGGGCCCTATAGGTTATTGGGATGACCTTGACTTTACTATTTTTTAAAATATATTTTTATTGATTCCAGAGAAGAAGGGAAAAGGAGAGAGATAGAAACATCAATGATGAGAGAGAATCATTGATTGGCTGCCTCCTGTACACCCCACACTGGGAATCGAGACTGGGCTAACACGACCTTCTGGTTCATAGGTCAACACTCCCATGCCAGCTGGGAGACTTTACTATTTTTTAAGATGGGAAGCCATTACCCAAGTTAAATTTTGAAACAGTCACTCTGGCTATTGAGTGTAAATTAGATTATAAGAGTGACAAGGACAGGAGCAGAGACATCAGTTAGAAAGCTACTGCAGGAACACAAGATAAATTGCTACCTGAATCTGTGTCTCCTGGGCTTCAGCTCCTTTTTGCTCAAATAAGTGCTTTTTTATTCTTTAAAAAAAAAAAGAGGGGGGGGAAGGGAAGGGAAGGGAAGGGAAGGGAAGGGAAGGGAAGGAAAGGAAAGGAAAGGAAAGGAAAGGAAAGGAAAGGAAAGGAAAGGAAAGGAAAGGAAAGGAAAGGAAAGGAAAGGAAAAACTACTGCAATAAGCTAGGTAAAAAAAATTTGTTCCACATACTTCCCTGACTAGCTTTCTACCTGGCCCCAGCTGTTCAGACCTAACTTGAACAGTTGGGTAAAATGCTTCTAAGGGTTACGTAGGTGTTCTTACCATGTGAGTCCTTAACTGGGTTCTAGACCAAAGAGAGAATAGGAGAAACTTCAAGGAAAGGGTCCAAAACCAGGACAAATAGCCTAGGGCAATCCACAAGGGAGTGGCCAAAATGTGCTATGAGGCAAGGACATTATAATGAAGGTATGCTGTCTGTCCACTTCCCAAGGAAAGGCAGCAAGTGCTGTGCCTTTTGCAGATGAAGACATGAGTCAGAAAACAAAGTCAGAGTAAATCTGGAAAGTTATTTAGAGATCCTAACAATCAAATGATACCAATTGAAAGATGTAGCACAGAGGTAAAAATCAGCTGTGAAAATCATCTAAACCAAGAAAATTCTAGGCAAGGCCTGTGAAATTACTCCAGGGCTCAACAAAAATTTCTCCACTTCCAGTAATAAAAAATTTTAAGAAGTCTACACGTACCTATATAATTATAAATCTGTTGATAACATTTATTCCATTAAAGGAGACGCTCCTTCCCTTAACCCAACATACAATACAGAAAAGTGTGCAAACTAAATTTTATCTTAAATGCTTTAGGGAAAAGCTCCTAAAAGTAGTTATCTGGGGAGGGGGCAAAAGGGAAAGAAATTTTAATTATCTATATTATACATTTCTGTAATGTTTTAATTTATTTATAGTGAACTTATAATTTTATTAATTAGTAGTATTAATTTTGAGGCATTAAAAAGCAATAAAGACATGTACAAAAATGCACTGAGGAACTAACTATTCAAAGGAGCTCTTGGGTAAATATTTTTGTAAAGTGAAGAAATATAATAATGCGAATGACTGAACACTATTTTATCTGCATTGTAACATATTTCTATATATCGGGGGGGTTGTAATATAGGCAAGGACCTACCTTCTTAAATAATAAAAAGCAAGTAACTTACCTAAGAAAGATCTAGAAAGACTACTGAAGAGCAATTAGATTTCACTTTCTGGATATTATTATGAAAAATGCGCCTAGCCAGTTTGGCTCAGTGGATAGAGCATCGGCCTGCAGACTGAAGGGTCCCGGGTTTGATTCCACTAAAGGGCACATGCTTGGGTTGCTGGCTCAATGCCCAGTAGGGGGCATGCAGGAGGCAGCCGATCAATGATTCTCATCATTGCTGTTTCTATCTCTCTCTCCCTCTTCCTTCCTTTCTGAAATCAATAAAAATACATATTTTTTTTAAAAAGGAAAAAGAAAAATGTAAGCAGTTATCAGTATGCAATGAGTTAAGGGCAATTTTATCCAGAATCAGAGTGGCCAGACAGCTTCCTGCAATGCATCATTATTTCTCAAACACATCTCTGAAGCATTTAGACTTAGGTCTGCTTAAAGAACTTAGGGCTAAAAAAAAGGAAGTTAACACATGGGCTCTCTTATTATTGTATTCTGCCATGGTGATTCTTAGAGTAGCAGGAAGGACCATGTACTATGTTACATGGGCTAGAATTAGAAGACAGAGGGTTCATAGTTAAGGTGAAACAGTTGTCTTAGCTTTGAATTCTTTTGCTTTTTTTAGTCTTTTTGCTGCCTTGCTGCAATATAAATACAACTTCATTTCAAAATATCTAATCACAGATTTTTCCCAGTTCTGTTCTAGTTTTATTTTTGACATATACATACAATTACAGTTTCTGCTAACCAATTAAAACTACAATTATTTTCAGTAGAATGCCAAGAAAGTTCAAGAGTCACATTCAAGGCTTGTAAAAGATTCACTTACCACTGGATTTAATTTCTCGGACATAATTACTAGGGAACCAGCCTGTTCTCCCATTTAATGTGCCTTCCCACCAGCCTCCTTCTTCAACTCTAGTGACGTAAATGATGTCCCCTTTACAGACTGACAGTTCATCTTCATTAGTCTGCTTAAAGTTGAATCTTGCCTTTACTATCAACTGGTGACTTCCATTTTCAGTCATCTCCTAGAGAAACAAAAGCCACACCAGATGAAGCACTCATCTAAAAGAGGCAGGGGCAAAAATTATATGAACTTAAGCAAATTGAGTGGGGTGACCTAGGATAAACCCAGGGCCATCTCAGTCTTGTGTTTTTAACTTAGGAGTTGGCCTAACATGGATAGGCCTCAGTGGGAATTAATAAACCCCTCAAAACTGTATGCAAACTTTTGTATTTGTGAGACTGTGTATTTTGGAGGGAGTCATAGCTTTCATTTCCCTCTCCCCCTATCAATTATCTAAACCAGTGGTTCTCAACCTTCCTAATGCCGCAACCCTTTAATACAGTTCCTCATGTTGTGGTGACCCCCAATTTCATTGTTACAAATTGAACATAATTAAAGCATAGTGATTAATCACAAAAACAATATGTAATTATATATGTATTTTCTGATGGTCTTAGGCAACCCCTGTGAAAGGGTCGTTCGACCCCCAAAGGGGTCGTGACCCACAGGTTGAGAACCGCTCGCTGATCTAAAGATACTTATTTTAAATGATCCAGGAAACAAAGGACAGTGGTACACTATTCTATCCTGCCTCTACCCAACACATAAACCTATCTTATGTAATTTTATATGACCAAGATTAGGTACTAACCTACTCTAATAACATGTGTCGTCCACATCCCAATTACTAAGAATATCTTAAATTGGCTAAGACTTAGTCGTAGGCATAGATTAAATACCCCATAGTTACTTAAGTCAGTAGTTCTTAACCTATCACAAGCCCCTTTGAGAAACTGATGAGTACAATTGAACTTTTCCCAAAACACATATACCCCTAAGTTCACACACAGAAGATTTTGCACACAGTTTGAGATGGTCCAAGGAATATAGAACCATAGTATTCATGAGCTTCTCAAAGGGATCTGTGATCTCCAAAGGTTAAGTGCTTTGGAAGTAATTAAAGTGTTTTGGAAGTAATAGCTCTTGATAGCTTAAAGCAAGTGGGTGGCTTTGACAAGAAATAATGTCTCAAAAGAGCAGAAGATGGGGTGTTCCTTCCTAAACAAAAGCTCCTGTTAAGACTAAATGCAAAGATAACTGGGCTATCCCAATATAGGAGCTCATTATAAGCCCAATATAAGTACAAAGAGAAAAATAAAATGACAATAGCAAGTAATATTGATTGCCTACTATGTGCCAGGCACTATTTAGTTCTCCTAATAAACTGAGTGATGGGGAAAATAACAGCAATCTGCCATCAGGAAGTAGTCATAATGACATATATACATAGTATTCTCAGTTAAACAACTTGCTCAATTTTAGGAAGAGAGAATTTGGGAGCTTTAACCTCAATTTTCTGACTCTGTGCCCCACATACCTTTGATTTGTTCCAGGGGCCAGCCTGAATTTGTGCTAGGTTTAAAATTAGTTTTCTCCAGACTCCCCAAACAAACAGGATGGCTATCTTACTATATATGAAAATTCAACCGAGTTATCGATCAAATTTCATGGATTTTAAAACAGGCAGGGGGAATTGGGAGCAATACTTACCACTGCCTTTGACTGCCTTTGCAGCCTTGGAGCTGTGCTAGAAACTGCTCCCTGTGGGTTTGTCTGAGAACTATTAGCAGCACTAAGAGAAGAGGAACGTCCACATGGTCTTTCTGATAGCTGATCTGTGAAAAGAGGAAAAGGCATGGTAAAGGGAACCACTCATGTCAGAAAAACATCTACAACACAACATCTTTCATGGGACACTATCAAAGGCAACCTGGCTATAATTCTAGCTATCACCATTATGAATGTGCCAAGTGTATTTCATCCCCCCTCCCTTTTTGGTGGCCAACTTCTTTTTCTTAACCTTACTGGCCATTGTTCTCCAGTAGAATGAAAAACAGCGACAGAGCCACATTTTCTCTTAACCCATTTCCCTACAGCTCTTCCCTCCTGAGCCAATTGCAACAGTATGCCCTGTTATCCCAGGCAGAACTATATTGGTTACCAAACAGCTGTTTGTGGCTCTTATTACTTTGAAATATTTCAAATTTCTATCTTTGTTTTCTGGCCTATAACTGAGTGGTTCTTTTCTTCCTCACATGTAACAATATGTGTGGCATATATAATGTAAAATCTCCCTTTGCTTGGTGGGGGGAGGGGAGAACAAGAATGAGTGAGTGTGTCTGGGAAAGATGCAATCTTAACACTAGAATAATTTTTTTAATCAAACTCAAGAGTCTTCCCTTCCTTGAGACCTTATGAAATTTGATCCCACCAGCGCTGAGCTAGATGTTTTCAGTATGTTGATAGTGTACTAAAGAGAGGAGCTGGCTTCTTGACAAATTCAAATGAAGGTTCTTTTTCTCTCCATTTATTTTTAAAAGATATAAACTGCAAAAGTATAAAGCCCAAACATTCCCTAGGCGACAAGCTCAGTATCCAAGTAGTTTTCTTGATACTGTGGGTTTTAACTTTCACCTCCTTGTATTTTATAAATATCTGTGGTGAAGGAAGAGACTATAAAACTTGCTAGGAGAGTTTGGCAAAGGAACATATAATTTTCATGGCATATGTTAGAATTATACGGTTCTCCCTGCCCAGAACTTGAGAGTTGTCATGTGTGTTAAATATAGTTACTTGAATTAGCTGTACTTTCTGCTCTACGCCTTGCAATAAGCACAAAAGTATTTTTTTCCAAATAGCAAAAGAACAATTTTGGAGAAGTATTTTTACATTTATTGCTATCATATACAGCTCTTTTGACTAAAACTATAATTACTTGATAGCTTCCTAGATGCTCCATCCTATTTGGCACTTGATTATATTGTCTGCTCTTCTTCTCTAATTGTTTCACGTGGGTAAGTTGAATCTCCCTAAATAGATGGTAATTTTCTCAAAGGCAGGGACCATATCTTACACTTACTTTGTAGTATCTGGCAGTGCTGGACACATACTCTGTTGACTCTCCAATAACTGGAGCACCAGGACTCGTGTTTGGGCATAAGTGCTCTGGAGTCAGTCAGATGTGGGTTTGAATCCCAGTTCTGCCACATACTTTCTAGATGGGCAAGTGTGGGCCTGACTTTCCTTATCTATAATATGGGCCTAATAATAATACCTACTCACAGGGTTGTTTCAAAGATAGAATGAGACTACCTAAGGCTTGTAGGACAGCCTAGATCCATGGTAAGGGCTCAAAGCACTTTATGATTATTACTGCCCATTTGAAGGTAAGATACTATATCACGTAAGGTGTGAAATTATACTCTAAGGCAGTGATTTTCAACTGGTGTGCTGCAAGAATTTTTAAGACATGCAATACCTGACTATTTAGTCAGGGGTATTGACATCTTTTCCCTTAGATTGTCAAATAAAAAACTGACAACAGCCAACACAATAGTCATCCAGTGTGAATGCTGTCTTGAACCATAAATATATAGGTCATATAATAAAATTGCATCTTATTGGTCACATTGCATAATAAGGTTGCATCTGATTGGTTAATTCTTGGTATCAGAAATCCTTATATACAAATATATGCACCTGATTTTTTTAAAGTCACTTTGGAACAAAAAGGGTATGTAATTACTATTTTTTGTAAATCAATAAAAATTACACCTATTTTTTTTAATTACACCTATTTTTTGTCAGATAGGCAAAAATATATTTTTGGTGTGCCACAGAATTTTAGTAGTTAGTTTATATGTGTCATGAGATGAAAAAGATTGAAAGTTGCTGCTCTGAGGTAATCATCAAATACCTCTAATGTGGTGGGTATTAACATCTAAATAAAAGATACTCTTTCACTCACTATGAATCTGAGGTTTCATTTCCAGTGCAAGATTCCTGAGGGGTTCCTTTACATGGACAAAGACATACAAAAAACAATGGAAAAATGTCTCTAGTGGAGAGAGGGAAGTAACAACTATAGTCTTGTAAACTTTATGAAAAAGGTAACTTGTCGTGTTTTTTTTTCTGTCTTGTTACACTCAGTTGCCTATTCAATAGCTTTGAATGAAATAGTTTCTTGATTCTTGTCATCACATAAAGGGCATTAGAATGCCATCTGTGATAGGTATGTTTAAATTCTAAACCATCATGGACCTGGAGAGCATTATGATAAGTGAAATAAGCCAGTCAGAGAAAGACAAGTACCATATGATTTCACTCATATGTGGAATCTAATGAATAAAATGAACTAACAAGCAAAACAGAGACAGACTCAGATAGAAATTAGGCTGGCAGCTATTGGGGGTGGGGGAGTGGAGGAATTGAACAAAAAATAAAAAAAGAGAAAGAACTCATAGACAAACAGCAGTGTGGTGATTGTGGGGGGAGGAGCTGGAGGATGGACTATGGGGATACTAATAAATGCTGATGGAAGGAGACTTGACTTTGGTTTGTGAACACACAATACAGCATACAGACGATGGGTTGTGGAATTGTGCACCTGAAACCTATATAACTTTTTCAACCAGTGTCACCCCAACAAAAATAAATAATAAATCCTAAACCATAAAAAATTAAAGCATTTGACACCCATTGAAGTTTATTTGGTGGAAGGGGAGAACTTTGCACCAATCAAACAATCCTGGCCATAGTTGGCTCCTTGGGTAATCAGAAATATGTGAATCCAAACATGTCAACCAGAACTCATAAATCACAATTCCTACTTACCTTCTGTTGCTTTGTTAACAGCTAAAAGAGTGCTCAGAACCTTGGAGAAATTGACTCCTGAATAAAGGTCATCAGGATTAAATACCTATGAGAAAGGAAATTGAAACTGTAAGACACCGTAAGTATTCAACTCAACAAACCCAACTATCAAAAAACCATTTCCTTTAGCTCTAAGAAGAAAAAAAAGTAAAACCCAACACCCAAACCTCTGTATATTTTTTGGAGAAATGAAAGCAGCAGCTGAGTCGCCTAATGACATGTGGCAGGCCATCAGGGAGTTAGAGCAAATGGGAAATGAGAGCCCAGATGAGAACGCAGGGCCCACCAGGAAATGCACAGTGCATACTCAGAACCACTCTTCTAATCTGAACATATCAATACTCTTAGCCCAGTTACAGGAAACTTGTATGCATGGGTTACAGTTAATGCCCATCACCTACACAATGTCCGTAGGAGTAGACAAAAAAGGGAGTGGAGCCTTTTTGACACTTTTTCATTTGTAAAGTTTATTCATTGTACTCAGTAGGGGCACTGCCAGGTGTGCTTTTCTCTCTGCTCTCTGTCCTCCCCACTGCCACTCACTGGATCCCAAAGTCTGTGATCCCAACTCCACATTGCCCAAACGTTGCATCCAGATATGCATTTTAATTCCAGCCCCTGTTTCTGATTTTTGCTGCTTAACCTTGACCCCCCTCAGCTCATCTTCATGAATTTGAACCTCTGCCTGCCTGAACTTCTAGATTCTTCCTGGCCTTAATTGACTTTCCCAGATATGACTTCTGGCCTTTCTGATAGATACTACTCAACTGTCAGCAACACAAGATTAAATAAATAGAATATTCTACTTTGTCATTCTCAACTGTCATTCTGATATGCCACTGTTCCTAGTGAAGATACCAGTCAGTTGTTGTTTTAAAGAAATTTACTAATTTTAAAATATATTCAATGTATTAAAATGTATTGAAACTTCTTTTAGTCTCACATATGTGTATTTGAAACTAGAAGTACTCTCAAGTACAGGCACAATCTATTAATCTCCCAGTCAATGATCTAGATATGTACATCTGTAGGTAACCAGATGCCCACTTTCTGGATGGAAACGCACCTACTAAAAACATTTTGTTCCAAGATGTCTGAGTTTGCATCCCCCCGCCCCCACCAAATGTGGTGATGAGAATAGAATGTACCTTTTCATATGGGACATTTTTGGACCTAACATTTTGAAGGATCTATCTTCCCATTAGGTAGAGCCATTTGCTCCATTTCAAATCTACCTGTTTTCTAGCAGCCATATCTAGACAACATTTTATCTTCTTTGTGTATATATTATTGAAAATCTAAAATCATCTATAGAATGAAAATATATGAAATCTTTCTTTTCAAGTGAAGGGGCATTCATGTAGATAATATATGCAAATATGTGTTTATAGCAGTCTGCCTACTCTGGAATTCACAGCTCTACTATTCATTTGCTCAGTGGATAGAGCGTCAGCCACTGAAGGGTCCCAGGTTCAATTCTGGTCAAGGCACATGCCTGGATTGTGAGCTTGATCCCCAGTAGGGGGAGTGCAGGAGGCAGCCAATGAATGATTCTCTCTCATCACTGATGTTTCTATTTCTCTCTCTCCCTATCCCTTCCTCTCTGAAATCAATAAAAATATATTTAAGAAAAATGTAGAATATAAAATATAAAATAAAAATATAAAAAAGGCCGGGGAGGGTGGGGGGCTGGGGGGGGGGGTAAGAGATCAACCGAAGGACTTGTATGCATGCATATAAGCATAACCAATGGACATAAGACACTGGGGGGTAGGGGAGGCCAGGGGATTGTCAAGGGTGGGGGAAAAAAGGAGACATATGTAATACTTTTTGTAATACTTTAAGCAATAAAACAATTTAATAAAAAAATGAGGCAATTTTGCAACAGCATGGATGGAACTGGAGAGCATTATGCTAAGTGAAATAAGCCAGTCAGAGAAAGATAAATACCACATGATCTCACTCATTTGTGGATTATAGAGAACAACATAGACTGATGAAAAGGGACAGATCCAAAGACTGAGAAACAGCGATCAGGCTATCAATCCCCAGAGGGAAAGTAGGGAGGGAGGGGGTAAGGGGAAGAGATCAACCGAAGGACTTGTATACATGTATATAAGCCAAACCAATGGACATGGACAACAGGGGGATGGGAGCATGAGTGTGCGGGGGGCGGGGGGAGGTTGGGGGTTAAGGGGGGGATGAGGACACATTTGTAATACCTTAACTAATAAAAAATAAAGGTAAAAAAATAAAAAAAAATAATGTGGAAAAAAATGAGGCATTAATATACTTTTAGTAAAGAGCTAATGCCAATATTACTAAATAGTTAAATGATATTACAATCCAAATATATTTCTGAGTGCTACTATATATTTCAAAGTTTTCCAGGAATAAATTGATAGGCATGCTGTTTTAGTTTGTCAAAGCTTGGGTGAAGAAGTTCCAGTAGATGCTGGTAAGAGTATCTAGTATCCCAAGCGATTCCAGACTTATTGACTCTCCCTTAATATAATGGCATGTATGCCAAAATAGTAACAAAGCAAAAAAAAAGTAATTTGTTTTTAGTTCATAATTCCTCATAGGAATGTGAATATGTGTGTATATATGGATACATTTGTTGGGTAGGTTGGGTGGACATGGGTAGAGTCTAAAATAATAAAGAGAAGTAAATATTCAAAGAATAAGGCATGAAAGCAAATGGTGTGATAAAAACCTTCTTCCTGCCCTAGCTGGTTTTTCTCAGTGGATAGAGCACTGGCCTGCAGACTGAAGGGTCCCGGATTTGATTCCAGTCAAGGGCACATGCCTGGATTGCGAACTCAATCCCCAATAGAGGGCGTGCAGGAGGCAGCCGATCAATGATTCTCTCTCATCATTGATGTCTCTCTCTCTCTCCCATCTTCTCTGAAATCAATAAAAATATATTTTTTTAAAAAAAAACTTCTTCCCTTTTTTATGTTGCTCCTTATCTAGGTTCATTGACTGCCCATATGTAGCAACACTGGCATTATTCACTTGTACTGGTGCTTGACTAAATGGGAAAATAAATAAATTGATGGAAAAATAAAACATGCATCAACAAAAGTCATTGTGTCTGCTTGAGGGAAGTTGCCTGAACTATGTACAGTTTCCTTTTTAGAAAACTAGAGTTTACCCACAGACACTGTTCTCACTGCAAGCCTATTCTGTAGCACTAGGAACTACACAGAAGAAGTTGGAAGAGGTCTCTAGGGACTAGTAGAGAAGGCAATGCCTAAGGGTTATGATTTCAGAGCAGTTGGAAGATTATATATAACTATGAACACTCCCCACTGTACCACACCCATCCAAGCCTCAAATTGAAAGCTATTGAAAATTCCACCCCAGATCTTTCTTCAATGCACTTGAGATTGGTCCCCTGCTAAAATTGGAATATTATTTGGAGGGAACACAGCAACTTAATTATCAGTCTTTTATACCTTATTGGAAATGAGGAGCGTAAGACCAAGTTTAGAGATGATGATGTGGAGAAAAGCTAAGGTCACTGGTGCCCAACTGGGAAAAAGCAAGGGAGAACCCCCCAATGTGGAGAGGAATGTAAGGAGAACAAGGAAAAGTAGATTATAGTACAGGCCCTTTGCCTGGGACTAAGCCCAATCATTTATATATATAAAATGGAAAACCAATCCCTTTTCCAAACTACAAAACACCCTGGGACTTGTTAAAAGGTAATGCAGCCCTGGCCAGGTGGCTCTGTTGATTGGAGCATCATCCCATGCACTGAAGGGTTATGGGTTCGATTCCCAGTCAGAGTACATACCCAGGTTGCAAGTTTGAACCCCGGATGAGGCGCAGTGAGAGGCAACTGATCAATGTTTCTCTCTCCCTCTCTCTCTCCCTTCCACTCTCTTTCTAAAGTCAACAAAACTGTATCCTCAGGTGAAGATTTAAAAAAAGGTTTCTAGCCCTAGCTAGTTTGGCTAAGTGGATAGAACATTGGCCTGTGGACTGAAGGGTCCAGGTTCGATTCCAGTCAAGGGCACATTCCCGGGTTGTGGGCCTGAACCCCAGCAGGGGGCATGCAGGATGCAGCCGATCAATGAGTCTCTCTCATTATTGATGTTTCTATCTCTCTCTCCCTCTCCCTTACTCTCTAATATCAATAAAAAAATATTTAAAAAAATAAAAAAGGTTTCCAATAAAAAGGTAATGCATATTTGCATATTTATGCTGTATGTGATGATACTCTTCTTCTGGTACACTGTGTAAACTTTGCTAGCATGTTTAGTATGATATCAAACTAATTTTCTTTATACCTATTTTGGTCTAGAAATTAGCTGGTTAGTTCCAGTTGGATCTGTGAAGGTCAAATGAACAGCAAGATTCCCTTCTTCCATTTACCATGACTGTAATGCAGACAAGAAAGAAACGACTGCTTCTTAAACTGTCACTAGATGGTTTCAAGGTCCCACTCCTGCAATAGGATGAGGCAAAGCTCAAGTATAACAGCAACAACAACAACAAAACTTTTACTCTACTCTGGGTAAATAATAGGAGAGACATGGATTAAACTTCATTGAAGATTTTTTAAAAGTATTTATATATAGCCTGTCTAAGGTCCAATCCTACATCAGCAGCTCAAATCAGACAAAGCATTTAATTTTTCAATGTTTCCCCACATTTTTCCATTTTGAACATCTACAATGACAGCAAAACCTATTTTCTATCCACTAAACAGCAGGTGTTAATTCTGAGCTGTTGGGGATCTGCCAGTATAAACTGCACAGAAGTTAATATTTTTATGCTTTACAAATAGATCCTTTTGAAGTAGTTTTCACTTTCAATATGTATGCTGTTTTAGACATTTTTCCTGAACTGATAAACACAAGGAAACACATGAGGAAAAACTTCCACAACCCCTTGTTCCATTCCCTTACTAATCTTAGAGCTACAATTTACTGATTTACTGAGCACTTGCTATGTGCTGACACCATGTTTGATGAGGATGGATGGATGGATAGATAGATAGATAGATAGATAGATAGATAGATAGATAGATAGATA